CCTGGGACACCCATCCCTCATCCCACATCCATCCCCTCCCCGTCCCCATCCCCAGGGAAAGACCTCCATCCAGAAGAGCAGCTACGAGCCGCTGTGGAACGAGCAGATCGTCTTCACCGAGATGTTCCCCCCGCTCTGCAAACGCATCAAAGTCCAGATCCGTGACTCCGACAAGGTCAACGATGTGGCCATCGGGACTCACTTCATCGACCTGAGGAAGATTTCCAACGAAGGGGACAAAGGTGAGGCTGAGGTGGGGGCGTTCCTTCCCCTGGCAGAGTTTTCGGAGTTTTCCCGGGTGCCTTTCCCATCCCCTGGAATTCTGGAGAGACCCTGAAATGGGAGGGGTCTCTGGAACCCCACACCCTGAAACCTAAAACCCCTCAAAAACATTCAGCCCATGCACGAAAGCAAAGACAACCTGGAAAAAATCTGCTCTTCCAAAAATTCCAGGGATGGATGGTTGAGTGTTTGTCGGACTCCTTGTTCTCACACACGGAGGAAAAGATGGGAAGGCGAGGATGGGGCTGGAAAGGGATTAACGGGGGTTTCTCCTTCCTCAACTCAAAATGGGGAATCCTCAATCCTCAAAATGGGGAATTGCTGAAGACCTGCCCAAGCTTTCCTGCAAAACTTCCCTGAAAAAAAAAAACCCAGGAGGCTCCAGGGGGACCTTGTGGCTCTGACAGGAGGGGGCAGATGGGGGCATCGGGCTCTGCTTGCAGGGCACAGGGACAGGAGGAGCGGGAACGGCCTCAGGCTGGGGCGGGGCAGGCTCAGGGTGGACACCAGGAGGAATTTCTGCATGGAAAGGGTGGTCAGGCCTTGGCAGGAAGGTTTGGGGTGCCCATCCTTGGAGGTGACCAAGGAAAGGCTGGAGGTGGCACTGAGTGCTCTGGGCTGGGGACAAGATGGGGATTGGGCACAGCTTAGGCTCGATGGTCTGGGAGGGATTTTCTAACCTCAGTGATCCCTCAATTCCGTGAAATCTGTCCCCATGGATATTCCAACCACGGACACTTCCACGGACACATGCCAACCATGTCACCACCCACAAACCGGGACAGCGCCACCCACCTGTCACGATCCGCTTAACCCAAGCGGGAGTTGTGGGGGGGTTCGTTTTCAGAATCTCAGAGTGCAAAAGAAACGAGGGGGCAAGTATATATATTTTAAATAATCATGAGCAATTTTATTGGATTTTTGCGATAGAAGAGGGTGAGAGAGAGAAAGTGAGAGAGAGAGAGAGAGAGAGAGAGAGAGTGGGTTTTATAGCTACCAAAAGGCTCCAATGAGTCCTTTCTAGGTCCAGATTCCATGGGTTCACCAGCAGTCTGTTGGCGGGATCCCAATCAGGGTCTTTTCAGAGAGACTTCTTATAGTCCTTTTGAAAGCGGGTGGCAGCAAGCCAGGGGGTTGTGAAGTATGGAAACTTGCGAAGTATGGAAA